ATAGTCGAATTGCAGTTGTAGATATCTTGAATTGGATTTTTGACGAGTCAAAACTCAGAGATATCTGCAAATATTTTTCAATGGAAGTCAATGGAGGAATATGACTAGTCATAATATATTTGCAGGTATCTCCAATCTGATTTCGTACTAGTACATTTGCAATTGTAGATATCTCTAATTGTTATTCTGACAAGTCGAATTATAATAATGACTTGTCAAAATATATAATTATATCTCTAAATATATTTATGGATAGTCAGAACAAGGTTTAAATGTTAAAACGGCTTGCCATACGCTCTCATTTAGCAGCACAGTGGAGATTTCTCTAGTTATATCCTTTCAGTCGTTTGTTATGCAGTGACATGCAGTCAAATATTTCGCCAAACAGTCCTTAGGGATGCGGGGACACACAGTCAGATATTTTACCGAACAGATCCGCCACTTTTGGCGCTCATAAACAATCAAAGCTCTCGTGCTGCATGAATGAGGAGGTCTGCTGAAGGCGCGCAGCTGGCGTGCTGTGAGGAGTTTGCGTCTTTAATAAACTACGGCAGTTTGCGATCACTGAACAGTAAGAATGATTAATAAATACATATCAAACAGTCCCTTAAAAGTCACGTCTCGCTTTCGGTTTCGGGCTTTGGCGCGTTTCGCGCTCACACACAAGCGTACCGCGCCAAAGCCCAAGTGTACCGCGCTCAGGCACACCTCTTCCAACCGGGCCAGGGCCGGCCAAGTGAACCGTGCTTGAGCCCGATTCAGCGCACTCACACTTCTCAAACGATCCGGGAAACGGGCCTGGGCACGGTACGGATGGCATAGTGTGAGTAGGCCCTGAGTGTGTGTTTGCGCTGGTGCTCATGTCTGCAGGATGTGTTGTCTCCTGTAGTGGGCGCTGCTGTGCTGTTAAACAGGACACACAGATCCTCAAATCAGCAGCATTTAGTGCTGAGCGCTGAGTCTGATTCACAGTGTTTCTGAAAGTAATGGACTGATGCTGGTCTAACACAGTCTGATATCAGCACACACATTATCCAGAACACACACGCACACACACACACGTGCACTTATCACTGCTGCAATGCTCTATCTGCAGCTGTTTATTCACTCAGAAACTGCATTATCCAGAGAGTCATTTATACACTGAATATACAGAAACTGTTTTCTTTTCCCCATGGAGTCTGAATGCATTAGTTCAGTGCAATCTTGTCTGATTTTTTCCACCTTAAGGAACACACACACACACACACAAACACACACACACCATCCGACAAACTCTTCAATCCAGAAGCATTTTCTAGACAAGCAAATAAATATAGTCTTGTGTCCAGAAATAATGAGTCAAAATGAAGAAAGTTTTATCTTAAATCAAGCAGAATAATCTGACAATGGGGAAGAAATGACCTTCAGTTCAGAATCAGGTTGTTAGGGTGCTGTCTACATTATCTGAAATTAAGAGTGAGACAAAAAAAGTCCTGTATGGATGTCATCTTTCATTGATTGATTCATTTATTTGTTCATTCTCAGCTTGGTCCCTTTATTCATCAGGAGTCACCACAGCGGAATGAACCACCAACTATTCCAGCATGTTTTACGCAGAGGATGCCCTTCCAGCTGCAACCCAGTACTGGGAAACACCCATGCACACTCATTCTCCATCATATTGTGTGTAAAGCAGAGCTCAGCAGAACACAGGGTGATTTCCCGGAGTCCAGATGAGTGTTCTCCTGCAGAGCGGGATGATTAATGTGTTGTGTTGATCTCTGGATCTGGAATAGACAGCCGGCTGAACTTTAATGAAGCGTCTGTGGGAAACTGAAGGATGAATGTTAGATCAGGAGCCACAGGATCAATACACCGAGCAGAATCTCATCTGAACGCTTTCACACACACACACAGAGCAGAGTTTCAGAGGAATCACTCCATCATTCATCTCCATCCGTCTGTCCATTAGCCATTAGAGTGTTTGAGCTGCTGAAGATGATGTCAGCATAGACTCAGAGGATTATAGATGTGGAACAGCGACAGGAGCCACATAGACTGAATAGTCTGAAAGTCTCAATAGACTGACAGAAGCAGATTAGTTCTCCTTTAATTCTTCATTTGGTTTGGTGTGCCCTCAACATGCAGCACAGGGCATTTTCAAGATTTTATTTTTTTTATTTTTAAATGAAGGTGGATGTGGACGAGGCCTGAGAGATGCAGACAGACGGGCAGTGACCGAGACTGACCGCGGCGAGTCTGAACTGTCCTCAAGGCTGCAGAAGTGAAGCTGTTTAAGGCACAGGTTGATGTCGGTGTGAGTGATGTCCTGTGGGAAACACTCCATTAGCAGACACACCAGCTGGCCAATCCCTCAAACACAGCTCCTGCTTGTTACCTGCGCTGATAACAGAGAGCCGTCGGTTTGCTTTGCTCAGATCCCGTGGACCTGAGACGAGCAGCTACTGCGCAGACACACTCCTGTCTGACAGAAGCGCTGACTCTGGTGTCTGCGGAGGGAACGAGTCCTAATATAGCTCTACTGAAGCGTCTGAACGTTGAGCGCTCTGACACACTCGCTGAGAGATCACACTTTAACAAGATCCAGACCCAGACCTTCCTAAGACCCCGCGACCCCTGCTGACCACAGACACTGACCACACTGGAGCTGCAGGAGGAGGAGTGCAGTCAGAGGCCACCAGCTCACTGTGGAGACCCAGAATGACAGTGGGAATACACAGCTTGCGCTACAGGTTTGCAGAACATTAAATATGTCGTTAAGAGTAGCTTACCTAAATCCAGCCAATAGTGTTTTCAGAAGCAAATATGGGAGAGAAAACTGCATTTCCTCCGGGTGCTCTGGTTTCAGTCCAAACACATGCGCTATAGTGGAACTGATCAACTACACTGACCGTAGTGTGTGTGATTGTGTGTGTGTGTGAATGAGTGTTTATGGGTGTTTCCCAGTACTGGGTTGCAGCTGGAAGGGCATCCGCAGTGTACAACATATGCTGGAATAGTTGGCAGTTCATTCCACCGTGACGACCCCTGACGAGTAAAGGGGCTGAGCTGAAAAGAGAATGAATGAATAAAAGTGATTTTCAGAAGCTCTAGAAAAGGTTGACATGCATTTGACCTTTGACCCTTCATCTGGTTCTGCACTCGGGCTAATGGAAGGGAACCTTATAAGTGAACTCTGTGTGAGGCTGTGAGCACCAATAACCGTAGTGTGCACTATAAACCACACGCTGAGGGAAGGGAAGAGACACAGATCTGACCTGCTGTAAATCTGCTCCTTCAGCATGGGGAGGCAGCTCAATGAAGCAGCTGTGTGTGTGTGTGTGTGTGTGTGTGTGTGTGTGTGTGTGTGTGTGCTGTGTGTGTGTGGTGTCACAGTTCCGGATGAGTGTGTAACTCCGTGTAAAGGTAAT